TCAAGAATCTACTCTTCAGTTTTCTAGAAGAACTGCTCTCTGGTGAGTGGCAAGGGGTTTAACAAATCAGATCAACATCACATCTATATAATGCTTCAGGAGCTGAACTAATGATTCATTTATAAATTATTCTCGTGAAACTGAATGAATGTTTCTCTGAACTAAGACTGTCAAGCAGGCGGAGGAGACTTTGTAGCCTCCAGACTGTCCAGGTGTCGAAAACTGTATTTACCAGGGTGTGATGAGGAACTACATCCCCACGTAGCCTCCCAATGCTGGACTCAAATCCCGAGAGCTGGGACGTTGACAACTGCAGCTCCAGCTCATCCTCTGAGTGAAGAGAATGGAATTCCAAAATGTCTGCTCTAGTGTCTGCATTAGAGCTTGTCACCCCAATAAACCCCTCCTTAAAAAAGTGCATTGATGATGTAAAGTCCAATTTCTTTGAAAATACTGTGAGAAGAAATCTCCAGGCACTAAATAAATTAAAACTGCTACTTTGAAGTAAACAGAATTATAACAAAAATGATCAACAATGAAAAAAATGTGAAACTGTAGAAAGAGGTTAAACTCTGGCTCGACTCAACTGCTCCACCTAGTGGCAGTGACTATGCTTACCTTCCTCTAACATTTCTAAGCAGCTAGTAGAGAAACCAAAAGCATGAACTTACTTTTCAGTGTATGATTATTTTAGAAAATTTTAGGTCAACTTAAAACAATAAGGCAGAGTAGCAAACAGGACTTTTCTTTCTTGAGAAGGCACTGACTTAAATCTTAATGTGATGCAATTAGATATCACAAGAAAAATACAACAGAGAACTACCAATATAATTATAGTGAAATTTGTTATTTCTCTAAATATTATTTTAAATACATTAGGTTTTACGCACATGGAACACAATTATCTAGCATGTCATTTTTAAAATATGTTTTGGAAGTTAACCATCAAATCAGGTAAAATACTCAAGAAAAAGTTCAAGAACACCAAGTCAGAAAACACTTCTAAAATCTCCTAAATTAGGGTTTGGGATTCTGCTGGTACATTCAAATATACGCGGGTAAATGTTTTAGTTTCTATTTTTGCATTTCCACCACGGTACAAAACAATGTCTCTGAATTAATTGGACATCTTAAATTACCGTCTTTTTTTTTTTTTTTTGATTTGTAGGAGAAATCCAGTTGGATTTACTAACAAGAAGGATTATAAGCAGAACTAGAGCACATGGGCAGGACAAGGCTGCCTTCACCTGTTCGAAGTCTGTGGACGTGCTCTGCTTTACCAGTCATGAGCTGTGTTATCCAAATTCGTCTTCTGTGACATTGTGGTTTATCCTTACTTCTCTTTTTGCTACTTTCAAACCCCCAAAATTGTTCAGCTGCTAAAAAAGTTCCAAAACAAGCAAATGTGTTCCTGGAATCCTACCCTTAACATTGCTGGAGAGCATATTCTAAGGCTTCTTCTCCAGCCAAAATAATAAAAGAGCTTTTAAGTGGCTGAAATTCTTGGTTGATTGCACATGCATGCCAATGTCAGACAACTATAAATAGAGAGATTTGGAAGAAAAATAGAGAGAGTCTTTATAAGTCCGAGGAAATAAAATGGAATGTTTTGAAGGCCACCAGAAAATGGAACATGCATTTATAAAATTAAGATTTGTCTCCCTTCAGTCCAAAATCCCCTAGGAGGAAGAAAGGACTGTCTTTTCTTTATTAATATGTACTTATTATTCTCGATCCTGTAATTAAGACTTCTTCTTTGTATTGTCCTTTTGAGTTTAGATACCTGCTGAATCTTTTGATATTTTTCTCCTATCCCTGCTTTGCTTCCCCAGAATACTAAAAAAATCCTTCAAAGGATAAAATTATGCCCATGGTTACTGGTATAAATGAAGTCAGTGGGGAATTGCATGGGTGTTACCTAGGGCAGACGTTGTCCCAAAATAAACTGGGTCACTTGTTACAGCCATTCAGAGCGACGTGAGAATTCATTTCTCTAGAAAGTCTTACCCCCTTAGGCAGGTTAACATACTCACCAGCTCCCACAGCTGTGTTAATACGTATTTTTAATGACATTGTTACTTAATTTTGAACAGCGACTTACATTTGTATATTAACCTGCCCATCTTGTATTAACCTATCTAAATTGAATTCCAATTAATTCTTACGAATTAGTTCACTTTATTTTGAACCAATTACTGAACTGCTGTTCAAGAGAATTTACCAATTGCTTTGGTTTCGTAACTGTGCTGTAGACAGCAAATTAGTTAGTGATAGAGAAAGCCAACATTTGCTTAATAGGCTTTAAATGCAATTCTTCCAAATCTGGACCCCACTCTGAAGTGAGAGATGTTGAAATGTCAGTGATGGCTGCAAGGTTACAAGTCCGTTTGGAGGAAGAATCAATAATATAGTTAATGTCTCTGAATTCTCAGTTCTCTCTAAACTGCACTGGGTTCCAACTGGCTGGAGGCTATATCCTGGCTTTAAGGATTCAGTACATAACACTGGGAAACCAGAAAGTCATATTTTTATAATATGTTTAGTGATGATTTTATTACATAGTGTTTTCTGAACTAAAACCTTCAGGCAACAAACAAAATAAGACTTACAGGGACCAAAACCAGCACGGTTCTATTTTTTAAATTTTACTTCAAGCTCAGCTTTTAGTATTTCCCCAAAATGGTTTTAAAGTAATCTAAGGGTGGGACTCTGTTAAATGACTTTGAATTAATTCTAAGTTAAAAAAAAAAGTATGTGATGGTAGAAATTAAAAGAAAGATATTAACTATAACTCTAGGAAATGATTAAAAAGACTTTACATAAAAATGTAGTATTTCCTTCAGTAGTTTAGATCTTGTTTTGGTATAAAAAATATAAATATATGTTCATGGAAAATGCAAATAAGAAATATCTCCAAAGTAATATCTTAAAGAAAAACTCTGTTCTTATTTTGTGTAAAATCATATTCTGGAGGATTCTAATTTGCCCTCAGAAGTAAAAGTATATTTACTGCATCTAGCATCTTTTAGGAAAAAAATTAGGGAATTTTTTCTTTAAAAAAATTTTAAAGCAGCAACAGCAGACGATCTCACATCCTAATTTTTGTCAATGAAATTAACTCCTTCTGTTGTGACATGAACAGTATGTCTCAGAAACAGGAAAGCTTCAGATCTTAGGTGGCCAGAACAAGGGAAAGCAATGCAAAGCTTGAATACTCCTTCCATGTTCTTTTTCTTTTTGAAAGACATGAAATAACCTATTTTCTCCTGAGATAGAGGAATATAAATGGACAAAAGTGTCTTCTCTGAGAGGCATCCCACGAGTCACTATGAAATGACTGAACAAGAAAGAAAAGCCATCCATCAGGGCATATAGATGAAGGTGCGGAATACGAGTTGCAGAAATGAACGACCGGTGTGGGCTGGGTGTGCACGGTGTGGGGTCACATCCACAAGAGGACAGTGGACGCAGTTTCACTCAGCATCATGTCTAGACCTCCCTCTCCCCTGCCCTGTCTTTTGTAGACTATTCTAAGCAGAGAAAAATTGCCGTTTATTTTCCTGGGTGATCTGGAGGTTTTCCTGGCTCTGAAGGAGGGAAGTGGAGGGTTAGCTAAATTGCGGGCTGTTCTTCCACAAATGCTACTGTGTAGTAGATTTGCCAGGTTTTCCTGTTACTTCAGAGACAGAGATTCAACTGCTTCATGGTTACTTGGCTGGACAAAACTTTCTGAGGAATTTTGAGAAATGTGTTTGATGATTTAATCAAGGCAGGAACTGTACACTGTATATATTACCTGGTACATGAAAGCACTTAAATAAAATGTCAAACCAATGGTCAGTGAAGTTGGGGGGAGGAGGGTGAGAGGGTGAGGAACACATAGAATGTTCCCTCCCAGCCCAGGGCCTCCTCCCAGGGGAGATTCTAGGTATTAAGAACTGACTCTTCCAATGGCAAATGCAGAGTCTTGTGTTAGACAAAAATAATTATACAGGTGTGTTCTTCTAAGTATGAATTTAATCAAAATAAATTGCCAAATCTGTCAAATAATCCACTGAAGGGTTTAATGTATTCTTTCCATGAATCCCTCACAAAAATAGCTGTCTTCTGTTATCAGCTGACAGCATTGATTAAAGGCATTTTTATTATAAAAAGTATTTCTTATTCTTTCCCATAATTGATAGCATCTAAAATTAAACATGTAATAATGTAAAAGAGAGACAACCACCTTAAATCCCCCACAGACAAAATTTTGTTATGACAAATTATACTTTGTTTAATCAAAGCAGCTCCATCCACCTTTCCTCCAACATCATGCTGGAAGTGTGAAGCTCACCATCAGACAGGAGCGACCCCATTACTCTACTTTCCCACCTGCAATGATTTACTAACAGTCAGTCTGGTTTGCAATAAAAGACCTCTGAATAACTTGAGACACCCAGATCTTCAGATGTCATCAAATTTCAAAACCAATAAATAAAAGTATTTCATTGGTTTTGAGAGGTCAGATGAGAGAATAGAAATGAAATGCAGAGTACATACATATTCCAAGTGAACGTGGACTTAGCTTCCCAACAAGGCCTGGGGAAAAATAGGTAAACTGAAAAAACCTGTAAGATTAGTGTTATCTAGCTTGAAGGTTGTCACCAAGGTTATTTATATTAGAAAGTCAGTTGCTATATTACACTTAGGAAATACTATCTTGCTGATGCTAAAACATTTCTTGGAATCTAGTTAGGAGAGGATGAATTTCAAGATTTACAACTCTGAAGCAATCCTACAACACTCTAGGAACCCAAACTCCAACAACAGTGTTGGCTCAGGCAGAACGTGGTGGCTGGCACACAGTTAGAGCTTAATGACTGTTTAGTTGTTAAACGCACGGATGAATAGATAATTGGATAAAGAAATGACAAAATATCATGACAAACTTATCAGGAGAGTTTTAAAAATTAAAAGAGAAAAAGAGAACGAGTACAATCTGTATTAAAAAAACTTACTTATTCCATGCTTGTCTAAGGTTTTTAGAGCTGTACAGGGTAAAGCGTTCTGAAATAAAAAAGAAAAATGATAAACAATCTTTGTTTCAAGTGTCTATTTTGCAAGCATGTTAAAAAAACTTCTAAAAAGTTCGTGTTTGATTTAGCCATAGTTATGCTAGACATAGTAGGTCTCTACCTTTAGATTGCACTTACAGAGTAAAACAGGATGATCTTAACATTTTATTTTCATTTTAAACAATGAAGCATTGTTTTTTTGTCTAGAGTGATTTGTTTCATAATCTGTTTTCCTAGTTAATTATTTCTTAGAATAATTACGTTTTAATTGGATTGAAAAAAGAAATGCAAATTCCTAATCTCCAAACTGTAGGCAGACTTAGAGAAGATGCAAGGGCCCAGTGAGACCTGCTGCCTTCTCTAGGAAGACACCTCTGACCCAACACACAATGCCAGTGCTCCTTCCTTACACTCCAGGGTATTCACACACACTCAAAGCCAAACCACCAACACCCCGTAATGTATATTTACATTTATCATTGAACAATCTTTATTATACTTAAAAAGGTAAAACACAACATTTGTTTTGCCAAGTTAAACAATAAAGTGGCACAGAATATGCTTAATAATCTTTTCTCCTGCTCTCCATTTTTCACTCCTGATGATACAGCAATTGTCAATGGCTTGGTATGTCTCTCCCCACGTATTTTTTCATGTTTATAAATACAAACCCCTCCATTTTAAAAAATATATACACTATTTAAATTTTTTAATGGATTGTGCAATAAACTTTCTCTTAAAATTTTAAGCATTTAATAATATATAGCAAATAGTCCTTAAAATAAAAAATAACAGTTGTTTTAAACCTGTGTAATATTCCATAGGATAGAAGTACATAAATTACTTGACCATTCTCCTACTGATAAAAATTTAGATAGTTTCCAATCTCTTTTTTTCTTAAAAACAATGCTTCAATAAATAACCCCTATTAATCATTTCATGATGTATGAAGTCAAACCATGCTGTACCCCTTAATCAGTGCTGCATGTCAGTTATATCTCAATAGAAGTGAAAGATAAACAAACAAACAAATAAATAATCCTTGCACATCTATCTCTATATACTGTTGCTTTCCTTTCTTTTAAATAGATTCCTCAACATAGAACTGCTTGGCAAATGATACGCACATAGATGCTGACAGATTACTTTTAATTTACCCACCAGCAATTAAAAAGAATATTGTCTCTTTTATATTATGCATCCCTGGGATGCAAAGATGGTTCAACATATGCAATCTGTAAGTGTGATACATCATAGTAACAGAATGAAAGATAAAAATCACACGATCATCTCAACAGATGCAGAAAATGCATTTGACAAAATTCAATAGCCATTTATGATATAAACTCTCAATAAACTGGGTACAGATGAAACATACTTCAACACAATGAAGTCCGTACATGACAAGCCCACAGTTAACATTGTACTCAGCGGTAAAAAGTAGAAAGCTTTTCCTTTAAGATGAGGAACAAGACAAGGTGCCCACTCTCACTATTCCTATTCAGCAGAGTACTGGAAGTCCTAGTCAGAGCAATCAAGCAAAAAAAAAAAAAGGGGGGGGGGAGGGCGGCATCTGAATTGGAATGAAGACGTAAAATTGTTGCTGTCTGCAGATGACACGATTTTATACACAGAAAAATAAAGACTCCACCAAAAAACTGTTATAACTAATAGACAAATTTAGTGAAACTGCAGGACACAAATTCGAAATACAAAAATCAGTTGCATTTCTATATACTAACAATGACTTATTTGAAAAAGAGATAAAGAAAGTAATCTCATTTACAATAGCGTCAAAGAAATAAAATACCTAGTCATAAATTTAAGCAAGTAGGTAAAAGATCTGTACACTGAAAACTGTAAGACGTTGATGAACGAAACTGAAGATGACAAAAATAAATGGAAAGATATTCCATGCTCATGACTGGAAGAATTAATATATTGGTAAACGTTTCATACTACTCAAAGTCATCTATAGATTTAATGCAACTCCTATCAGGATTCCAATGGCATTTTTTAAAAAACAAAAACAGAAAACAGCAATCATAAGATTCCCATGGAACCACAAAAGATCCTGAGTAGCCAAGATAATACTGAGAAAGAAAAACAAAGTTGGAGGTATTATCCTTTCTTTGTACATAACGATATGGTGTCTCATTTTGACAAGATCTGTGTACATCCTCCAGTAAAATGAAACGGTTTCTTTTTCATACTGATCTCGTCTCTTTTAAACAATTTAATACTTAATAGGCTATTATGCTTAATGTTGGGTGGCGTCTTTTGTTAGTTGTTTTCTGCTTTTAATTACAGACTTTTAAAGAAGAAAATCAAAATGATTTATATTGTTTTTGTTCTGGTATGTTTCACATATAAGAATATCACTAGAAAAAAAGAACAAAAAGAAATTTAAGAACACACTTTGGACTCCTATCTCTAAACACGGAGTTTATTCAAAAGAAATGACTTGAAATACCATGCAGTGATTCATTTATTCAACTATTATTTACTGAGCAACTACTGGGTGCTGGGTACACTTCTTGGGACTGAAGATACAGGTGGGAACCAAGAAGAAGACCTTCCTGCAGGGAACTCACATCTTAGGAGGGGGAGTGCAATGTTGGAGTGAGCCTGGAGGACCGGGTGGCTGGAGCCAACAGACAGCCCAGGAGAAATGGGCAGAAGACTGGCTCACACAGACTTTGTGGCCTTTACGACATGATTTAGATTTTTTTCTTAAGGGATCACTCTAAGTTCTGTTTGGAGAATACACTACTGGAGGCAAGGATGGAAGCAGGGAAACCAATGAAAGATTATTACAACAGTCCAGGAGAGAGAGAATACGACTTGGGCTATGGCAACAGAGTGAATGCAGTGAGAGCGAACAGTCGGAAATATTTTCAGGTAGAGCAAGTAAGATTTGTTGAAGAATTGCACTGGGTTTTGACAGAAAAACAAGGAGTTAGGATGACTAACTGAGCAACTACTGATCTTCAATTCCCAAGTTTCAAAGATTTGGAATTTCATATTCAATTCAAATATCACCCTGAGACTGCATTAATCTTTTCATGATGATTCAAAAAGTCTTTAAAATTCTCATGGGGTTTCAGAGTCATCATTCAGGCAGGAGTAATTGTCAAAATACTTAATACTCTACAAGGCGTGGGTGCTGACCAATCACAGAAACCAGCCATTTTGCTTCTGTGGTGGGCATCAGCGGAACAGCTGCCCTGATTACTAATATAGATTGTTCTAAAGCTATAGGCAAAAGTGCTCACCAAGAATTATGTATTTATCTGTTTCAAAAGAATGTCTACTGTCTGAGTTTATCCTCTACTGGACTGCATTAAATAAGATGCAACATATTTCATCTAGTTGATGTAGAGCATATTCTAGGTTTGACAAAGAGAGGAGAAATGGGAAGAATAGTTCTTTTCACAGAGGTTTAAAAAACTATTATTATCTAAGTCTGGTATTTAAAAAGCAAGATATATTTTTAAATTAATTACATCAAGTGTCCTTGTAAAACAAATTTGATCGCTTTAATTCTGTACTCCCCACAAAGCAATTTTAATAATTTGCTATGATTTCAGGAGGAACAAGAATTCCATTACAGATAAAATTAATATGATCTCGCATTTACAAGTAAATTATTATTCTTACCAATTAATGACTGCACATAAATATGAGTTCTAAGAATTGCCTCTATTTAGAGCTTGACAGGATATGCTAATAGAAAATTTTTTTTCAGAAATAAGTATGTCAGTTTTAGCTGTGCATAAGAGAGCCAAAATTGATAGTGAAACACGTCACATAAAAGTAGACAAAATAAGGAAGAATGAAGTCTTACATCCACCTTTTAACTCCACTCACATAAAGTCTTAATTTTTCTAGCAGATGTCACCCGGGCACCTGCCTGTATACCAGCCACTACACCGGGCAATGGGCATATAGAAATAAGTAAGTCCTGGTTACAGTTGAGTGGCACAGAAATGTAAACACAGAATTACAAACACAGGGGGGGACGTGCTACAATGTGGCTATCGACGCAGTCTCCTGGGAGCCCAGAGGCAGAGCCACTAACTGCATCTGTTTCTCTTCCAAAGGAAGACAGGGTAAACTCAAATATCTGAAGCTAGCTCCTGGAACACGCAGGATCTGATCTCTTGCATCTGACATCTTTCAGATCTAACTGTCAAAGTACACAATTTCAAATGGAGCCACTTCTAACATTTCCTCCAATGAGCCTGTGTCATATTTATAATTAGATTTTTTAAAATTCTGTTTTAAAAATGGTTTCCATCATGAGTAAAAGTAACATCCCATTAGAATGAAAGCAACCTAATTAGCTGTGTAAGCTCTGAAAACAAAAAGGTGCTTAAATTAGTGCCCCCAAACAGTAACAGGTGTATTTAATAAAATAGATACTCAATTGCCTATGAATAATTTTCAGAGATTATTTGAATATTTGCAAAGGAGTGTTTTATACTGTTCTCCTTCTGTTAGGTTTATTCTGTCACTACTTTAATGTCAGCTTTTTCTTTCCAATTATGTGTAAGCTAGAAGTTTAGAATGCCGTGATATAAAGCATTGGCTAACTCGCAGCATAACTGAGAAGTGCAATTAATTTAAACCTGCAGGCTGGTTTTCACCTTCTCCTCTTATTGCAGGGACACTGCAGAGGAGGTGGCACCAGGCGGGTGGCCAGTGGGGAGAGCTGGTAGAGAAGAAATCACTTGCTCTGTCACACGGTGGGGGTGGGGGTAGAAGGTTGGAAAGGTTTTCCCTCAAACTGCCATGTGTATGCACTGCAATTCATTGGAATTCCACAGGAAAATGACTGGAGAACCATGCTGCATATTCTAAAGTTTCCCAGCTTAAAAGAGCTAAACCTGAAAAGGCTTGAGGCAGCGTGAAAGCAGATAAAACCTAAACTGGGATTTACTCATTTGCTTATAGGTACAGACTGTATACTCCAGGAGAGTAATTTTAATT